GCGGAGGTGGAGGAGGCCGCTTCACAGTTGGGGGCCCTGGAGGGAGGTTTGGGGGAGCTGGGGGCTTCTCCATCTTGAAGTGGAATTGAAGGAAGAACTGGGGAGAGGAGGGGAGAAAAGCAAAGAGAAGGGAACAATTAATCCTCAGGACAAGCCCCTGCCATCACACAACACAGCTGATACCTGCCTCCAGGAACACAGCTCGGACCTCTCCTGACCCCTTACCTCCACAGATCATGGCTCCTCACCCGGGCAGCACTCATGACTTGCGCCGGTCTCGTCCAGTACTTTAACTCCTCTGAAACTTGTCCTAAGCCCTAAGCTATCTGTGGCGGGGCCGGTATCCCCCCCTACGCGTTCGTCCCCGGCTCTCACACGCGGCACCCGGTGAGTACGCCCATGCCGCGGGCTCACCAGAGAGCTGTGTGCAGGAAACATGCAGCGAGGAGCCTCAGAGGGGACACGGCGTTGCACGTCTATGCACTGTTCTGCTGCTGCTGACAGCAACCAAGAATTCTACCTCTCAGGCTAAATTCTCACAAAGACCACACACAGGAAGATCTTTCTGTCAGGAGGAGTCACTGCACAATGGCACTGAAGGAATGAAGATTTTAGCATCAAAGCCAGCACGGATATCGCTGACGTGCACTCTCCCTGCATTGCCTTTCCCCCCAAGCTGCTCTGTCCTCCTGCTCCCTCTTTAACCCTCAGGAAAGACGTTGCAGTGCTCCAGCTACCTGCTTGGTTTCCCTGTTCCAGTGGGTCCAAAACTTCCCTTCTGCTTTGTCGATTTCTCTGCTTGGCACCTGCAACAAAAAAAGAAGCGGGAGCTATTATTAGCACCGCCAGATTAGCTCAATGGCCCTTTTTAGCACCAGAGCCTGCAAGATAAGCACAGTTATTCCAGGCCTTCGTGAGATGCGCTAGTCTCGGATGTTATTAGATAGAGATGGGGGCAGGAAAGAATTAAGTTACTTCCCTATCGGTCAAGGACGAGCGTGCTGGCAAAAACCCCTCTCTCAACATCTGCACAAAGGCTGAGGAGCAAAGCCCAGAAGGCTCCTTTCTGTGCCAGACACTGAGAATTCAACGGCTCCCCAGAGCTCAGCGCACGGCCTAGTTTTCATGCCAGAGTCCTCCACTAATTCTCAGCGGGGTTTAATGACTTCCAGTCATGTCTTCCTGACCCCCCCTTTCCACTCCATTAACCCCCTGAGGGCTAGAACAGAAGTCTATAACGACGCTCACCGGGAATTAACGTCTTGGAAAACAGGGGAAGGGAACTTTCCCAACAGTCAGTTAATCCCAAACCTTACCTTGAAAGCTATGGTTTCATAGGGCTCCGCTGCCATCAGAAGGTATTGCCAGCGTCTATCAGGGGGCTCAATCCTTTGCTCGTAGGCTGACATGAACCGATGACGAGGCATGATGCTTTCTGCAATCTCCGGATAATCAATCTGTCGGGGTGTTATTACAGCATTAAGGAGAACATCCCCTTTTCACCCCCCCTTGTACAAAACAAACCCCTCAGCTATGAAGCGCATCGGGAGATCAGCTCCAAACAGAAAACTTAGTGCCACCGAAGGGAACAGCCTGACAACTGCGATCGTGGATTTGCTTGACGCAATCAGCAGCAGGGGACTAGCAAGGTAAGGCCTTTTCTTTTTATTATTATTATTAATTTCATGCATCCTGCAAAGAACTGCTCATTTTGCAGCACTTTTACTTGGATAACCCGAACACCACGAATTTTAACAGTGCCCTTACTTGGAAGAGAAGGCTCTGCTGGCCTGTTTCTGGATCTCTCTGTTTGGTCACTGTAAAGAAAGCAAGAAAGCTCAGTACATCACATAGCAGGGTTAGAGCGACATCATTTCTGCCCTAGGAAACACACAAAGCTTCCAGCAACGAAGTATTACAAGGTTTTTCTCCCATTTATCAAACAAAACGCCACATTGTCTTTGTCTGAAGCTACTAAGGATCTCTACCGAAATTCAGCTGCTGTGGGGCAAAGACACTGTGCACTGCAGAACAAAGCTGCCAGACAAAGAAGCCAAGTTGTGTACCGAAGGCCAAAACAAAACAATGGGGAGTTCAGAGAAAAAACTTGAGCTACACATGCAACCAGCGATTTATGAGCATTAGTGAAAGATGGTGCAGCACAATAAAAGGCGAAGAGAGACTCAAACAACGTCATCATCTCCTGCGTGACTACTCGTCAGAGCTGAAAGACTGAGACACACCAATCTATTATTAAAACGGTTCTCACTGGACTGTCAGCAATAAAGAGGTGTTTCGTGGGTAATTTAAACAATAAAGGACATCAGGAGATAAGCCCATATCTTATTCACGGACAGATCTGCTACAAAGACTAATTAATAATTCACATCCACGGCAGTGCACTTCAGGCAGGCTGCAGCAGGCATTAGGTATCTCCCGTGACAGACACCCCTGACGTACCTTTATAGCCCGGCCGTCCAATTTTCACAAATTTCTTCACTTCCACTTTGACTTTTTCTGGTGCGGGCTGGGCAGGGGCTTCCTTAGCTTCCTTGGCAGCTCGACGGGCCCTGGGTTAATTGGCAACGTGCCAAATTTAAAAGGTTAGCCGCACTTCTTTCTAAAGGATACACTAGGAGCCGTTTGAATCCCTCCCCACGGCATATTCGGCGCTTCACCGAAAGCGTGCCAGGAAAACCTGCTACTTCTCTTCCACGCGCACCGCTACAGGCCAACTGTACCCATGCCTTCCCCTGACTAAAGGCTGTCACCTCAATTATTTTATCCACCCCCAAGACGACCTTGGTGCCCGTCTTCTCAAATCCATCCGTGAAGACTTACTTCTTGAAATAAAAAAGAAAACACCCACAAACCAGTCATCTAAACCAAAGCAAACTGGATTTCTTAAAATAAAACTTAGAAACTTCTCCCAACCTGCATTCACAAAACCACGTCCTTGTAACCAGACTCAGACAATTTGCTTTTAAAACTCCTTCTCCCCCTTCCCTCAGAAATCCCACAACTGGCTTTGAACTTGAGCTCGAGCTGGAGCTTGTCAGCACCGTTTTTTGGAGCCGGCCTAGGCTGAACCTCCCGGCTAGTGCCAGGCTGCTCACTAGGAAACAAACACAGTGAAAGAACATTCAAGCACAGCGTGCGACTGTGTCATGGAGTTCAAGATTTGCAGATGCACACAAGCATCGCTTTACAGCGCTTAGGTAACGGAGAATAAAGTTACAGTGGAGAATGACTTACAAATTGGTCTGATGCTTCTTCCCCTGGGTGTGTGCTAAGTAACTTCCCTGAAATAAAAAACAAGGTAGAAGAAAGTTAAATGAAGACAGGACTGTTCCTAAACTGACAGATACTTGTCACAGAGGAGAGTCTGTATCACAGGTTGACAAGGATATTTTAATCCTCAGCAGAGAGGAATCTTACTCAAAAATTGCAGCTGAACTGTCACAAACTGTCAGGCTTAACACATACAAGCCACTACCCGCCCACCATCTCTTCAGCAGTCAGTCATCAGGCACGTCCCAGGTTCTTGCACTTGAAGCTACTATTATTCTAAAATACCTGCTGCCGAGACCAAGACAGACAGCTGCTCAGCTCACCTCATTGTTGTGCAGCGTTAGGCAAAGCTTGCATTCGTAGGAGCCCAAGTGATTTTTCATAAAATAAGGGTCCTAGGAAGAGAATTATTAAAAAGTTACAAGCAAAATACATGGCGAAACAACAAAATACTCAAAATACTGCCGAACTTTTGCTGCACTGGAAGAACTGCGTCTGTAGATTTAAATTAATAGCATAACACCGCTTTAGGACTACGAGAACAGAGAGGAACAACAGCAGCTTTGTGAACTGGTGACAGCATACCCCACTGCGGGCCAGAAACAGCAAAATACGAACCAGTGCCGAGAAGACTGAAAATAACGTAGTAAGAGCTACTTGAATACGCAAGTGCTGGCACCTCTCTGGTCAGCCCTGTCACAAATGCTTCTTGTTCGACTCCCATATTACCAGAAACAGAAGTATTTAATTCCAGTCCACAGCTCTCCACTAAATCTCTCGCCCTCCAAGCCGTGTCACCCAGGCGAAGCTCTAAACTTGTCCCCACAACAGTCTGCAGGACGGGAGCCCCGTGTCTCTTCTTTCCTGCGCACGCAGAGGCCATGGCTCACCTTGTTGATGTCGATGGTTTCCAAAGCCAGCTGCCGGAGCCTCTCCCTGCGGTCTCGGTTACTTTCGGAGGCAGAGGCTACGCCTCCGCTTCCAGTTTTACCTCCAGGACGATGCTGAAAATCCATGATGGGGACTTCTGCGCTTCAGCTACTTATGGAGAAAGAGAGAGTCTGGAAAAATGAGGAAAAGCAACGTGAGCGATAACTAAC